ATATATATATATTACAACTCTAGAAGGTTGAGAGATTTTAGGAGAGAAATGAGAAAAATGAGTTGTTCAATAGGAGTGAAAATGGGAAGAACGAGGAAATAGAACAAGTGGTACACAATATATAATCCCTCCCAAAAGAAATATATATATATATATATATATTACAACTCTAGAAGGTTGAGAGATTTTAGGAGAGAAATGAGAAAAATGAGTTGTTCAATAGGAGTGAAAATGGGAAGAACGAGGAAATAGAACAAGTGGTACACAATATATAATCCCTCCCAAAAGAATCGAGAGATTTTAAGGGAGAAAAATTATTACACTTTAAATAAGTTAAACTAAGAGATTACTTATTTTTTTGTTTGAATATTTCCATCGGTGAGATCTCGAAGTACCGTGAGGAGGTGATTTCTATAAGGATTTCCATTGTGTAGGTCGATCTCACCGAATTTGTGATAACAACTTTTAAGGCCGTGGGGCAATCTCACTAAATCTTGCACAAAGCTTGTGTTCGCCCGGAAGCGTATAGTGTCAAGTTTTGATAGTATAGATGAGTGAATATTATTTTTTACAGGAATTAAGTGTTAAATTGTCACTAAGTATTGCGATTATCGTAACTCAACTTTATTTAGGCAACCGAACTAAATGAAATAAAATAGAACATAAACAGATATAAATAAAAAAAATAAGATAAAATATGAAAACTTCTATGCACAAGTGTATTAGGGACTTGACTTCAACTTATTATTTCTATGTTCATCCTATTAAGTCAATACTAGCCAATTCCACTCAATTCATAAATCAAGGGATCTAATCTAATCTTGCTACCTCTCTCGAACGTCAAACGAAGTCATATGCATGAATACCAGAACCAATATTCCTATCTAATTACCCATTTACTCATATACTAATTAAGTTTAGCCCTTAAATTAGAACTCAAATGTCCCCCACCCGCGGCCTCACAACAATCGAAATCCTAGTTGTTAATCAAGGTCTTGATCCCCCCCCCCCCCCCCCTCACAACAATCGAAATCCTAGTTGTTAATCAAGGTCTTGATCACCTCCCGGTCTCACAATATCCTAGACTCTCATCGAGATTATCTAAGTGTTGATCTCCTTCCGGACTCACAACAACCTAGACTATGATTTCCAATTCTGAACTATGAAACCAATCTCTCTAGAGCGTCAAAATCACAATCTAAAATTATCTAACTCATTGGTCACATAAATTAGAAACATTAAGCATAGAGAAACATAAATAAATTAAAATGGAATTTAAACTAAAAATTGACAAGATAATCAAACATGGTTGAAATAAAGCTACATCAAGCCCTAAAATATGAAGTCTAGCTCAACATAGAGAAATCCATAACCAAAATCACAAATTTAAGAACAAAAACTAAAAAACTACAAAGAAAAGGGAGAATGAAGAGAACTTTTGTGGAGACGAGCTTCAGGTCTTCAAATCTTTAAGAATCTCCAACTCCAAGCTTCTCTCTTCGAGAATTTTTGTGCCTCTCATCCTCTTCAAGTTGGGAACTGGGATTTCTTTTGCTTAAGTATGCTTAAACATAGAGAAAATCTCAGCCAAACTAGTCCAAGGGTCTAAAATTGGACATCCATATTGATGAAGGGTTGAAAAATGGCCCAAAGTTCGTCAACAACATGCAGGGGGTGTGACCACGAGGCTAGTGGCACGAGCGCACCCGCGCAAGTGGTTCTGCCCAAAAAGGCCCTTGTGCGGCCTTGAGTGCTTTTTGCTCTAATTTTTTACTCCAAAATGCCACTAAGTCCCATTTTATTATTTTCTATAAAATAACACCAAAAATATATTAAACTAATTAAAGTACTTGAAGACTTACAAATATTTAAACTCAAAAATAATAATAACAATAATAATAATAATAATAATAATAATA